CCACTCAATGTGAGAGAAAGACTCATTGGAATGCCTAAGTTAAAGAGTGCTGGTCATTCTGTACACAGACCATCTTTTTCGTTGGGCATGGCATGGGGGTAGAGGGTGGATGGATCCTCCACAAAGTAAAGACTTTTCCATAGGATTCCATGGCATACATCCAGGGTATTTCCCAACGGTGACATTCATTATTCATCGCATTCATTCAGAGGTTTGGGTGGTCAATGGTTAGACTATGATGGTTTTTTAAACTAAAGTATTGAAACTAAAGTTATTGAAACTAAAGTACAGTGTAGTGATTCTTGAAAGCAATTCATACCATCACACACAATACAGTACTTAATGTACCATATACTGTAGACCAGGGGTGTCAAACTCATTTTAGCTCAGGGGCCACATGGAGGAAAATCTATTCCCAAGTGGGCCGGACCGGTAAAATCATGGTATATATAACTTAAAAACAACAACTTCAGATTCTTTTCTTTGTTTTAATACTATCAACATAAAACATAAAGCTGGAGCCTGAGGACAGTGTGTCCAAAATAGTACAAGCACAACATCACTATTAATCATAAAACACCTCAAGTTTATTTGAAAATTCTAAAGAAAAAGAACACACAAACACACAATGCCTCAGTGATTCACATAACTGTTTCACAGATCACAGAACTATATCAGGGTGTCATTTCTCAGGCAGAAATGTAGATACAAATAATGAAATCCTGTTCCCCAAACAAGTGCAAGAACCACAGAGTCAAGAATAGGTTAAATATACAAATAAAAATAAAATAAAATCAATTAAAAACAATAGCACATCAACATAAAAACATATAAACATAAAGCTGGAGCCTGAGGACAGTGTGTCCAAAAGCACAACATCACTATTAACCATAAAACACCTCAAGTTATTTGAAATTCTGAGGACAAACAACACACAAACACACAATGCCTCAGTGATTCACAGAAGTATATCACAGATCACAGAACTATATCAGGGTGTCTCATGCAGCACTTTAAGTGGGGTTGCATAGTTTATTTGACTCCTGATACCTGGCATCTTTTAGCTTTCACCAGCGCATCAATATCAGGCGTCACATCCTGAGTGGCAGCCAACTTCAGGATGTGATTCAAGTGCTTGTGCGTGAGCCTTGAGCGCAGCTTTGTTTTATTTATGCTCATTACAGAGAACTTGCTCACAAAGATATGTGGTTCCAAACATGCACAACAGTTTTGCAGCGAGGGCTGTCAAGTTGGGGTAACCTGGCAAGAGATTCTGATAAAATGTGTCCAAGCCAGCTGCGGCAAATTTGCCCTTCAAATCCGAGTCACACTGCAAGTCTATTATTTCAAGTTGGATGCTGACGGGCAGATCAGAGGGATTCACGGTGAATGGCGAACAAAAAACTTTGAAGTCTTTCTCCAGTTCACCAAAAATCTGAAAGCGTTGCTCAAACTCCCTTAACAGTCCCGTTATTTTATCTTTGAACCGCTTCATGTCTGCCACATGTTGGGTCGCGCACACATTTTTCAGACAGGGGAAGTGAGCTGCATCACCACCGGCGAGTTGCGTCTCCCACAATGACAGCTTCAACTTGAAAGAACGTATGCTGTCATAATACTGCGTGGCAACTTTGTTGCGCCCTTGCAGCTGTTTGTTCAAGTTATTCAGGTGCTCTGTAACATCCACCATAAATGCAAGGTCCTGCATCCATTCTGCGGAATTAAATTCTAACACTGGTTTGCCCTTTTCTTCCATGAACTGTTCAATTTCTTCTCGTAAATCAAAGAAACGCCTCAGCACAGCACCTCGGCTTAACCATCTTACCTCAGTGTGGTATGGCAGGCCATAGATGTGGTCTTTCTCTCTGAGAAGGCTGTCAAACTGACGGTGATTCAGGCTTCTGGATCGGGTGAAATTAACAGTTTGGATGACCACCTTCATGACGTTATCCATCTTTAATGACTTGCAACACAAAGCCTCCTGGTGCAAAATACAGTGAAAAGTCCAGAAATCACGTCCTCCATTTTTAGATTGCACTTTCTCTCTGAACTTTGTCACAACGCCTTCTTTTTTCCCGATAATTGAGGGCGCACCATCTGTAGCCAGGCTGACAGCGCGGGACCAGTCCACTCCGACCCTGTCCAGCGCGCCAACGAGTGCAGTGAAAATATCAGCTGCTGTCGTTGTATCTGTCATCGGCACCAACTCCACGAACTCCTCGGTGACGGTCAATGTGTCATCAACTCCGCGGATGAAAATGGCCAGTTGTGCAACATCTGTAATGTCCGTGCTTTCATCAATTGCAACCGAAAACGCAATAAATGACTTTACTTTTTGCTTCAACTGGCTGTCCAAATCCACTGAAAGATCGGAAATCCTGTCTGCAACTGTGTTTCTTGTCAGGCTGATATTTGCAAAAGCCTGGTGCTTTTCAGGGCACACAATCTCTGCTGCCTTCATCATGCATGTTTTTACAAATTCACCCTCACTAAATGGTTTTGAAGCCACTGCGATTTCATTAGCAATGAGGTAGCTAGCTTTCACTGCAGCATCACTGATGTCTCGGCTGTGAGTAAACACAGACTGCTGTTTCTTCAGACCCACCAACAGTTCATTCACCTTCTCTCTTCTCCGCTGTCCTTGAAAGTTGTGATATTTGTCGGCATGAAGACTCACATAGTGGCGACGAAGGTTATATTCTTTCAGCACTGCAACATGCTGTGAACACACCAAACATACAGCTTTCCCATTTAATTCCGTGAATAAATAGAAGGATGACAATTTTTCTTGGAACACTCTGCACTCTGCGTCCACTTTTAGACATATTGGGGCAATGAGGGTGCCAAAGCACATAATGTTAAAAGTAGAAGCCGTAATAAATATCGCGGGCAAAACAAAGTAGCTCATCCGGACTGGCTGCACTTGCTTGACCTATTTGCTCTGCCCCGGTATAAACAGTTTGCTTGCTTAACACAATTGCTATTGCGCCATCCAGTGGACACAATTGGAACAGCAGTTTCTTTTATTGAAAAATTGCAGCTCATTTTTATACTTTACAAAATCATCTCGCGGGCCAGATTAAACCCGTTTGCGGGCCTGATCCGGACCCGCGGGCCGGACGTTTGACACCCCTGCTGTAGACAGTCTCCTAGAGAGAAATATAATATGCAATTGTAACCATTTGACATGCTAACTGTATGTGTATATATGGTATCAAAACCTTTTGATTTAGTGCCTAAATACCACTGAATTAATCAGAGTGCTCCCACTGGACAGTTACTGTACCTCTCTTTTGCCATTATATATTTGCTCCACTGAGGAGGTGTGTCTTGGCGATGTGTCTTGGCGATGTCTTTGACCCCACGCTGCTGGTAGAGTTTTGCCAGTTGGTGCTGTGTACCTTGGCAGTGCCATGGCAGTCGAGAGGTATAGTATATTACAAATGGCAGAGGTTCTAGGAACCTTCTTTCCTGGAATCCACTAGGACAGCTGGAGATGAACGCTGACTCCGCAGTGTCAGGGACTTTCAAAATGGGACCTTTTAATGCTTAATATGCATTATTCTCTCCTTTCATTCCCTGAAGGCATGCTTCTTATTTATTTAAACGTTTTATTGTGTTTTATTAAAACAACTTGGGGATAGCTGGGGAGATAGAGGGGCAGCCAAAGCATGTGTTCTATGATTACAAACGGCTCTTTAGGCAGACCTAAGCACTCAAATAAAATATCACTCAAATAAACATGTCCCTAACCCCCAATTATTTTGATGGAAAACTCTCATTGTATAGTTCATCTATATGGAATGATGAACCACAAATGTTGATTTAAAAAAACAATCTTTATTATTCAGGGCTAAAAAAATTCCAAGTAATACAGTATTAACAATACATCAAAACAAGAAAATAAAAGAGAAGAAGCGATATTAATGTGCAATGAATTCTATAGAAACAGAATATATAAATATATATAATTCAATGATTACTAGAAAATCTTTCTTGTGTATTTTACAGGGCTGGGAAGTTTTCATAATGAGTGTATTAAGAAAGCTAAATCACCTATCAAATTGTTTTCTGGCTCCTGGGTAGGAACCCCCTGTGAGAGAGAAAAGAGAAGGAGAAGACAGGAGGGCTTGTGAGTGCGTCAGATACCCTGTGAGAGAGTTGGCCCAGTTCAATTTCCCTGCCACATATGTCAAACGGTCTTGTTTGCAAAGGCTAGTGTTTAAGTGTGGATCTGCTGAGCTTCTCATCTCCTAGCTGGCTGCTCTACTCTGCTCTACTCTGCTGGGCTGGAAGAACTGATGAAGGTATGTACTGTCTGGGTCTGGGGCATTGCTGCTTTGTGTACATGGCATTTTCTATTTATTTAATATAATAGACTATGATACATTTTAGATTAATTAAGCATTAAGAATGGTAATTGTACTTTTTCATTGATGCTAGTAGAGAATATTACATGTATAACTTTCCATTGTGAATTCAATTGTCAAATTCAATTATTATATTGATTACAGATACTTGTGTAAAAATATTGTTTCAGCTATAGGCTTCCTATAATTTTTTTCACAGTTTAGGCATGACTATGTGTGTTAAAATGGAAAAGTTTCATGATAACATTCTTACTGTACAATTTACATATTAATTAAATATGAATAGTTATATGGATATATTATATTGTCACTATATAAGGTTCTATGTATCGGTATCTACTGTATATTTTTTTGCCTAACTACAAACAAACTTCAGTTAAGAATGTAACATTTTTATTCTCTTGATCTCCTCTGTAAACTTGATTCTGACTTATAATCATTCATTAATTCTACATTGATAAGTATGTTCATAGAGTTCAACACTTTGCACAGGAATTAGAAAAACGACTTAATAGACGCTTTCTCCCCAATAATTGTAGCCCTTTTGACTCCTAATATTGTAGCTTATGACATTCTCTTTAAAAATATATATTTATTCAACATGCTTTCCATCCTCTCCCCACTCAACAGAAGTCTACTAGAACCCTGTGCTGTCAGAACCCCATCCAGAGGGTAGAGATGGGTGCTGCTTGTGCTCAGCTCCTCTTCGCTGCCATCTTCTGGTCAATGCCTTACACTGGCGCTGCTGTTGTGCTGTCCGTATCCAAATCCAACCAGACAGACCTTCTCTACCTAACCAGACCTGGCTTCGAGGCAGACCCTGACTCTGACTGGAGTAATCTGAATCTTATCAGCATCAACGTGCCTCGTAGCCGAAAGAGGCGAGCCATCTCCTCCAGAGAAATGAATGCCTTGTTGGATTATCACAACCGTGTCCGCTCCCAGGTCTTCCCTCAAGCTGCCAATATGGAGATCATGGTGAGGCCCCTGCATAAACTGTACCAGGGCAGGAAAACAAGGGACTGATGCATGACTGACTGACACATGCTAAGGCAGGGAATACTAACACTCAATCAAATCTGAAACATAACTTTGGTGTTCTTGCTCTACGCTAGATTTGATATTTTAGAAATATTTTTTTGTTTGTTTAATCATGTATATTTATTGAATAAGTCAAACCTCGCGTAAGTATGAGCACACAAGTAAAACAATGTGGCGAAGAGACGCTAGATAGATAGGACAAGCGGACATCTGTAAAGCCTTCCTCATTTGAGAGGTGTTAAACTGCTGCTCTCTCTCCATGCTTTAGGTGTGGGATGGGAAACTGGCAAAATCCGCAGATTCCTGGGCCTCCCGCTGCATATGGGATCATGGACCCTCACAAACCATGAGATATATGGGCCAAAACCTGTCCATCAACTCTGGCAGGTACTTTTGAACTGTCCCTCTTCTTTCCATGTTAAGAACTGGTTGCTTATGTGAATGTTTGGTTCAACAATGACTGCTATAGGAACACTGTCTTACTGTATATCTGGTCAAATATGAAGTAGGGTGTTATTTTAAGAAACATGAGAGTGAAAATCCGAAATGTCTCTTCCTTCTCCTAGATACCGATCAGTCATTGAGCTGGTGAGGTCCTGGCAGGATGAGAAATACTCCTTCTCTTACCCCAACACATGCAGTGGACCAGTTTGTTCCCACTATACACAGGTGTGTGGCTTAGATATTGCACTAAATGTGAATGTATTGACTGTGGTGTGTTCTATCCATAGTCTTCTATTTACAGAAGATAAGTACTATGCTGGTATAGTTGATATTTTTATTGGTAAGAAATTGGGTGACTGTGTGTGGGAACTTGTCTGCAATTAATCATGTTGACCATGAGAACTACACATTGCATCAACAAATTGATACACTGCATCTTTCTGTTTCAGATGGTATGGGCCAATACCAATAGGATGGGATGTGCCATCAACAAATGCTCAAACATGAACGTGTACGGGAGCTCTTGGAGGACAGCAGTGTTCCTGGTTTGCAACTACTCTATCAAGTAAGTAGTGTACACACGAATCCTTCTCTGTTCATAGCAAGAGCAAGCTGTCTTGTTATAATGAACACAAAAAAGCCAAATCTATAGTATATACCCAATATAGATTAAAATGTTTCTTTTTCATTGTATAAGCTAAATTCATCAGAGCCTTATATTGAAATGAATATTCTTTAATAATGAAAGGAAACAAACAAATAAACAAACAAGATCAGTAGTTAACCATGTTTTATTGTTCTTCCAGAGGGAACTGGGTTGGAGAAGCTCCCTATAAGAGTGGCAAGCCATGCTCTGCCTGTCCATCAAAATATGGAGGTTTGTGTAACAGAAACCAGTGTTCCTCCGCTGGTTCAAAAGCCAAAGCAAAGAAAATAAAAAGATATTAGAAACATATTGCACGTCAGTCACATTTTCCCTGTTTTAATGGAAGACTTTAAATAATTAATTGTTTCTGTTGAATCATTCCATTTATCTCATCAACAAAAAACAACTGCAAGAGAAGATGTGTGAGAAACGAAGAATTTCTAAATTAAAAAACAATAACTGGTTTTGCAAAGTTGGAAATTACAAAAAAATACTAAAAAGTTTCAGTGATTAAATTACAGTACCACTATTTCTGTGTTTATTATTAACAAATGTTTGATGCACCATCCACTGGATGTTTAGGCATCCCCGGTCATGATGATGTCGATTCTCCCCTCTGCATGGAAATAAGCCTAATTATAAGCCTAATGAACTTAAATCTACATAAACTCTTGGGTTGCAAAGCTCCATTTGGGACCAGAACATACAGAACCCAGCTACCTAAAACCAGACAGAAATTATGTTTTATTCATTTGATTATGTCCTTTATTGAAAATGTTGAGAAGATGAGTTCAACGTATTTGTAGGTCTATGCCAATGTGTTTGATAAGTCCACAAACTGTTTGCACTGTTTTTGGTAGATTATTTGGCTCTTGAGTGACATTTTGCGAAACTATTTGTATTGAAAATTAAGCACTTTTATAGTTCACTGTTTTCTATTTGTTCGTTTTTTAAAATTGTATAATACATTTGTTTACTGTAAATTTAGGGACAGATAATGTTGGTTATTTGTTCTGTTGTAGACCAATTATCTTTTATAACATTCACTTATTAGAGCTCATGATTGGTCTGAAAAGGACATCACTGTCAAGCATTCTTTGAATAAAAAAGAAAAGAGTTTAACTCAGCAGTGGGTGTTTTAATAAACCTTACAGTTCCTGGGTGCTTTTTCACCTCTATCTGTCTTAAAAGGAGGACTTCAAGAGACAACTACTTTCAATAGATTTTCTTCCGATTTTCTTCGTATGGCCGTTTGTTACTAGCAACAGCCAATCAATCCCATTACTTACTTTTACAGTTGTGAGATGGAAATTCATGTACAGTATATTCAAGTATGCATGACAGCATAGATATTATCTCATTGTGGACACAGTGACAGGCTATATTGTGCATATTCTCTCAAATGGCTCCTGGCCTGCATCTGTGCTTATTTAACTAGGAGGCTAAGGGAGGCTAGGGGATCTGCTCTGCTGTCATGTTTTTCCACCTCATTGAGTCTCCATATTCATCCGGAGAGAGAGTCCATCTCTGCTATAAAACTGGACTAATGAGGCTTTTATGGTCATAATTACAGGGAAATCTGCGTAGTGGACCCTCCGGAACTATACAATTCAATTGGTTCATAGCCATTAACAATGAGAAACTGGGAGGCAAATATAAAGTGATTTGTATCTATTATTTAATGGCCACAATGGTTCATATTAATCCAAATATTCTACCACGTAGTCTGTGTCACAAATGTCAGTTTGATGAATATGCACTGCATGCATCATTCCTCTTTACATGTTCATGCTCATAAAATATTATTGAGGAGTGAAATTATATGACACATACTCAATCAATAAATATTTCAATGTTTTCAGAGGACATCTGATTCCGTGGGAAAACTCCTTTTCAGGACAGCAACATGGGAAACTCCTTTTCAGGACAGCAACATGGGAAACTCCTTTTCAGGACAGCAACCGATCCATACATGCAACCAAAAGTGAAAGTTCCCACAAGGGAAGCAAATGCACTATTTTGAAATAATATCAGTGTGAAGCCTGTACATGTTGTCAACTTGCTGCTATCCACAGGGATATTTGTATCATAATGTATTTGTGCAGTGTTTGTCTGTGCATTGCATAACCTGGACGGATGATTTGTTTTTTCAACCAAGACATTAACTTCATTCACACTCAGCATCTGAGGTGGTGAGGTAACACCCTCTGTACATGCTCCAATCCAGCTTTCTCTTTCATGTCCCTCTCTCCGCCTTCCCCCTTCCTAGGGGGTGGTTGAACAAATGCAGTCTCCCATTCTTCCTAACTTCCTTTACTCAATGCACACTAATAAAATGTTTGGATATTGAATAAAGAAAAAATACATAACTTGTCTACAGACAGTGTTTGAGCTTCTATCATCTAGTTGCTATAGCGACAGCTGCCTGTCATATAGATCTGGTCTCTATACGAGCCTGGTTACTGTTTAACCTCTCCACCCACATTTGCCCAGATTAGGAAAATCAATAAGATAACAGCTAGGAGTACCTACCTACCTACGGCTGGGGCCTTACCTTGCATCAACACCACCTTTCTCACTATAACGCAGGCGGGCGCTAACTTCCATATTTGAAACCCTAGAAATTGAGGAATACAGGAGAAAAAGAAAGATACATTTGAAAGAAACAGGGGGAGGAGATGGTCAATGTAAACTCACAAGTCAGTACAACCATGGAGATTCCATTCACTGATGGTGAGTACACAGTTTCTTTTATCATCTCACGGTTTCGGTGCATATGGTGGAGCTCACACCAGCTGTTGACATTGTTTAAACTGTGGTTTGCAATACTCACTGCAGAGGGTTTCTCTTTTGGCAGGCAGGTCCATTCAATGTAGAAAATATAATCGCCATTTGTGTCTGTGTTTTTGACACGACTGCAATCTAGGAGGTGTGGAGAAGATATGAAGGTTGTTAAAAAGGGCCCCATAATAAGCTGAGACTGACTGATGAGACACCATTCAGACTGATATGAGCCTGGGGAGCTAGAGAGTAGAATGATATGAATAAAGACCCACTATAGGCAGTTGATTGTATTTGATGATTGTTAAAGACTGAGTCAGAGTGAATCAGAATGGAATCATTGCCAGGATAGTAGAAAGGTGTGAAGAAGAGCAGACTGAAACACTGGGCTTTCACCTGAAAAACACATGGGAACCACCTGGGTAAAACTGGAAAAGCATCCAACTACATTAGCAACCTCTGCATGATCCAGTTACACTACAAAGTTGCCAAAACATGCCTTTTCAGGAGTGTACTGTGTAAATGGCTTGGGGTTGGTTTTCATTATGTCATTCACCACACATCGTATGATTTACATATGACTCGGGGAGATGTAAAACTCCCCAACCAAACTGGGTATATTAGTTGCCCTAAGAAGGGCACACAAGAGTAGCATCATTGTTTATTCAAAACTGTTGGGTTCGTTCTGGTTTTATATACTTTTACATTTTCATTTTAGTCATTTAGCAGACGCTCTTATCCAGACTGTATATCTTTATACTATGTTTCTTTGTGCAGACATAAGAATGCTGCAAATCACAATGTTTGATGAGGTCACTCCCCCTAATTTGAAATAGTGCTGACATAATGTCTCTCATGCATCAGGAGATTTATGAATAATGACATTAGCATGTCACAGGCATGACCTGCAGTTATGAGTTCTTTTCCCTGGTGGACATTACCTGGGCTGCACCTTATTCCCTACAGCAGTGTCTTCAGCCTTTTCTTGCCCAGGCAAACTCGCGACCCAGGGACTCCCATCATGTTGTCTTATCTTCCGGTGAATTATAATGGCAAGGACAAGTAATCAACATTTCAAAATGAATAGATTTGGTAGATCGTTTTTCATTATTTTGACCTCCCCACATTCTAACTGGAAGAAGTGTAAACTCTAAGATCGCCAATTAGCTAGAAAGGTAACTCGAAACTAGGGCTGTGATGATAATGGAATTTGGGGTAATGATGAATTGTCATGCAAATGGTCAGTTTCTGTCATAATTGTGTTATTTATTTTTATGTTTTCAGCTTGTAATGCATCATAATGCATCTTTGAAATACATACCTACTGAATACAATTACGACATACAGTACTTAATTAATAAAACACAGCTTTGGTAACACCAGTCTCAAAAAAAAAATGGTTTTGAACGCTTAGAACTTTTGGAAATGAAGCTTCTCCTCCCAACGGTGCCGTTCTGCTCGTAAAATGATTACTTTACCCACTTCATGTAAAAATGGAAAAACTGCTATTGGGTAAACTATATCTACTTGAATATAAAGTTGAATCCCCCCTTCTCCTAAAATGAATGTATTAAGACGATTATGACGACTATTATACAATAATTGTGCCAGCCCTACTACAAATATATTCGCTAATAGCAGCTGTTTAGCTGGTTAAACAATGGTAAGCAATGTGTTGGCAAAAATGTATGTCCAAGTCAGCATCACTTGCCACTACTGGTACTTTTTCAAAGCCTATGTTATTTACTCCAGTGAGTGTAATTAGCTCCAATGAATGTAATTTGATCAATATTAGAAGTTGAGAAATAAAGTTCACATAATTAGAAAGAAGATATTCCCCTCTTTTCTACTGTAGGTATGCAATTCAAAATGTGTTTATTCTGTATATACAGTACCAGTCAAAAGTTTGGACACACCTACTCATTCCAGGGTTTTTCTTTATTTTTACTATATCCTACATTTTAGAATAATAGTGAAGACATCAAAACTATGAAATAACAAATATGGAATCATATAGTAACCAAAAAAGTGTTCAACAAATCTAAATATATTTTATATTTGAGATTCTTCAAAGTAGCCACCCTTTGCCTTGATGACAGCTTTGCACACTCTTGGCATTATCTCAACCAGCTTCATGAGGTAGTCACCTGGAATGCATTTCAATTAACAGGTGTGCCTTGTTAAAAGTTAATTTGTGGAATTTCTTTCCTTCTTAATGCGTTTGAGGCAATCAGTTGAGTTGTGACAAGGTAGGGGTGGTATACAGAAGAAATCCATATTTGGTAAAATACCAAGTCCATATTATGGCAAGAACAGCTCAAATAAGCAAAGAGAAACGACAGTCCATCATTACTTTAAGACATGAAGGTCAGTCAATCCGGAACATTTCAAGAACTTTGAAAGATTCTTCAAGTGCAGTCGCAAAAACTATCAAGCGCTATGATGAAACTGGCTCTCATGAGGACCGCCACAGGAAAGGAAGACCCAGAGTTACCTCTTCTGCAGAGGATAAGTTCATTAA